GACAAAAAAGAGGTAAGGACAGGCAGGTTGGGCCATTGCTGAAATGTGCATAGTCTTCAAGTGTTTTATAGGTTTGGCTTGGGATTTTCCTTCAGGTTCATGCCTACTGATATCCTCTTGGGGGAAAAAAAAAAAAAAAAAAAGCCCCCAAACTATTGAAACTAATGGGAGTTTTGTCTAATTCAGTAATGCTGGATTGGATGCAATGCATTCATCTACACAGCTGTTAGCACAGGGATGGTAAGTAGAAAATGAAAACTCAAGACAATACTGTTATTTCCTCTGAGCTGAATCTTGTCCTCAGAGAGAGAAGCTAGGCCCCTGCCTGTTCTGGCTTATATAGCTCTGAGGCAAGCTCAGCTCTCTCCATTTGTTTTATCTCCCTTCGTTAAAAGGTTGGTAATAAAGACAGAAGAGTCTAAGGCCTGACTGCAGTCGGGCCTCAGCTCCCAGATCATTCAAAAGTAGTTGACAGGGAGTCCCCTTCTCCCCTGTTGTTCCAGGGGCCATAGAAGGGTAGACAGCTTTCTATATAGGCAGTCATCACAGCTCTGAGCAGTCTTTGAGCTTTGCTGAGCAGTCGTGATGCCCAGGCCCAAAACGTGAGAGTTGTGCCCACGCTTCCTGTTACCTCATTCATTAGTTCTCAAGCGCTCACACATTTGTTATCCAGAGAGGTCACCAGCACCTTTAATAAGTCAGACTTGCTTACGGCTGTTTCTTGCAGGTAGAGTACTTGGTTAATGGGAAAATGCCCAGTGACTTCTCCCAGGCTTTGGTATTTACCAACCAGTCCTTAGAGTATCTGCAGAAGAGAATTGTGGACCTACATAATGAAAAGATAATGCAAAGAGAGATCTATAAGAAGGCCCAGGAGCAACATAAGCAGCTTGTCCAGGACAAAAAGGAGATGGAGATACTCATTCGACGTGAGTAACAGAGACTCTGAAGAACACAGCGTACTAATGCTCATTCTGCCCCCTCACTGGGTGTGGGTAACTCACCAGATGCCCGTCTTTACGCTCACACAGGTGTCACAGCTGGTTACTGCAGAAAATAAACCAGAAAGAGCAGATCAAGTGGGCTGTTTCGATGAAGTACCAGTAGTTCTCCAGCACTGCCGAGTTGTTACGCTGTGTGAAATAATTTGGGAACTTAGTATAAGGAGAGTTGACTGAGATGAGACACTGGAAGTCAGGACACACGATTGCTATTTCTGGCTGTAAACCAGAACTGCTAGGAAAAAAAGTACTTTCCCCAAAGCTACACAAGTTTTTTTGGCAATTTCCTCCTCTGCATAATGAAACAAGCCCTATTTGAAACCCTGACTTTCCCAAGGACCAAACCCAAAGATGTGTCCAGCACCGTCAAACCTGCGGAGGCCCTATAGCTTTGGGTGTGGGAGTGGCTTACTAGGTCTGGCTTAGAGTGTGGTTTAGTGACCACACAGATGTGCTGATGGGCAAGGGAAAGCAGCAAGATTCAGCTGTGAGCTCTGGGTTTGTGTGAATTATTTATTACGGAGCAAATTCCAAAGAGCTCAGGCAAAAGCTGGGGGGCAAAGCAGAAATTCTTATTAACTAATGAAAGACAGTGCTGCCACTCGTGCCGTGCCCCTTCTGTTAGGACTGGAAGAGAAGTGTGATCGTCTGATAATGGAGAAGTTTGGCCGGATGGTTGATTTTGAAGCAGTTCAAGCACAGTCTGTTAACATTCGCATGGAACAGTTGAAAGTGCAAATAATGGAGAAAGAGTATGTGCACTCTCAGGAGCTCAAAGAGTGGGAGGTAAGGAGCAGGAAAAAGAGGGGGATGTATGTTACGATGATCTGTTAAGGCTTCATTTCCCTTGGGCTGAACAGTTACATGAAAATCTTTTGTGAATGGGTTCATATTCGTTTTTTTTCACTTGTCATTAATAGACCATAATGTCCAACTCCCATTTGCCATCATCATTCCTACCTCTGCTCCAGTTGCTGATGCACATCCTATTTTCTCACGGGAGTAGTTGATGATATTTTTGTTTTACTTTCCTCAAACGCATCCTTCTACTTCAGTGCCTATGTGAAGTTCTTCCAGAGTGCTTTCCTTTGGTTTTCAGCTGGCATTTAGCACCTACTGCCTCCTCCCGCTGCCTTGGGTGACAGACTGTTGGAGTGCAGCGCTGCCCTGCTCACGCCTGGGGGTGCTAGTCCTCGGTGCAGTCTGAAAAGCTCATGTCTCGATCTGGGGGGGCCTAAGGCTCAGCTACTGCGGTGCAAGCAGGAAACACGCTGCCCTTGCAGAAGGGCACATATGGAAGTACTATCTACCTAATGGCTTTCTCTTTCGCACACTCTTGCCTAACTAACCGCTTTTCTTAAACATTTGCAATATTTAAAAAAAAAAAAAAAAAAAAAAGATGACTGCTTGCACTAAAGACACTGTGGGATCAGGTGGTGTATGCTGGAGCTGCCTGTTATTTATCTCTTCTGTGACATGTTGTGCCTAGCACTTCTTCCCCGTGTCACACTTTTTGTCCCCTTGCATCCCAGCTCAACTTTTTATACCTTTCTAGGGAAGAATCTTAGACCTGCGGCAGCAGCTAATGAGGCTGACAAAGGAAAACACGAGCAAGTTGCAGCAGCTGAACCGGTTTTGCCTTGAAAAGCATCAACTTGAAACTAAGCTGGATTCACTAAAGAATGATCTGGTAAGCCTTTTAGCCACTGTACTACGCAGAGGTTTAGGGCTGTTCAGACCTGGGTAAGGGATCCTCTGGCCCTCGCCAGCTCTCTGGTCTCACAGCCTGCGCTGCAGTCGGCAGCTGGGGCTAACATCACCTAGAGGCACCGGCTGAATGGCTGCTCCCGGTCTCGTAGGAAGGGAGATGAATGAGCTGATACTAAAGCAGGCCATACCTCAGCTTCTCCGTAATTTCTTACTTAGCTGCTTTCTAATATTGAAACAAACTCATCTTATTTCTAATTAAAAAACGTCTTGCGGCAAGTCAAAATTATTCCTGTTCTATGGAAACAGTCAAATTAATTAAAGTGTTTTCTTTTTTCTATACTAGGGAATAAGGCAGCCACCTTTGGCAGTCTGAGTCTAAGTCAGTGGCCCCTCACTCTGATTTCCAAGTAGTTCTGAGTGAGGGATGGAGCAGTCATGAAGCTGTCCTGCCTCTTGGAAAGTTTCGCTTTCCCCGCTTGAAATAAAGTGCCACTGTCCATTCTCCTCTGTTTTATAGGAGCTATTTTTTCCCTCTCTTTACAGGGAGTAGAATTTCAGGGCAGCCGAACTACTGACATCAAAGAGAAGGCCAGGCTGGAGTCACGGCTCAAGCGCACAGCTCATGACACAGCCCTCCTAAGAGAAGAAATCAATCTTCTAAGCAGAAAAGACGGGTACTTAAAAGAACTCGCTCTCCTTAGGAGAAAAGATGGGTGCCTCTTTCTACAGCCTTCATCACCAGGGACTCTGAGACACCAAGTGAATCATTCCCTGTTCTTACACCAGAAATGGTAACTAAATTTTAAGGTGTCCCTTAAAAATGGGCATGGTTACCTGTGGCGGTAGTCATACTTGGAAGCGTGAAAAGAATTGCTTTGGCTATACAGGGGTTTAGTTGTAAAGGGTTGTATTTGTTTCCCTTATCAAAATACGACTGTAGTCATAGATACGGAATAAAAAAGTGCAAATACAACTAGTAAATGCTGTCATCAGTCCAGTGCAGAGATTTGCCCTGGGCGGATGCCCCGTGTGTTTGTGCGTATGTGTTTGTGTCCGCTCTTCAAACGAGCGCCTGTTGAAGGCCGGATATGTTTCACACGGGCAAACAGAGCTTTTGGTACCTGTGCTCTCAAAACTGGGGAAAGAGGTCTGCCTTAGAGGTGTATTTTGTTATTTGCTGAACATCCTAGCAGCAGTGGCGCTCCTCTGCTAGCTGAGCTAGAGTCAAGGCAAGTGCTGTTTGTTTGGAGAAAGCAAAGGGGCCTTTCTCCTCAGGGCCGACAGCGCTCAGCTGGGTATGGAGCCAGTCACATACTTTCCCCCTTGCCTCTGCTCTGCAGCTGTGGAAAACTGCGCTGCAGTGCAGGACGTGGTATTTACCTGGAGGGTACAGCAAATGCAAAGGCAGCCTGTGATTCCACGGGCTTGCACCTGCCCGATCAGAGCGAGAGCGCGCCAGGCTCTGTACGTTTCTGGGTTTTATTCTTTGCCTCTGGCATCCAGTATGGTGGCACTGCACGATCATTTACAGCACTTACCCTGTCTTACTGGGAAAACTTCCTTCATCCCCTAAGTGGAGGGGGTGTGTTGCACTGTTCTTCCACTGCAAAGTTTCTGAGAGTGCACAGGGAAGCTTGGGCTTTGTTGCTAATTTTTAATTAAACAGATTGAACAACCTGCAGCTGCTCTTGCTCCTCCTCCCCACTCCCTGCCTTTTGCCACAGGACTTTGCTCCTCTGCACGGCGTATGCTGGGCCAGGATCCAGCTCTATCCCAGCCAGGCACAAAAGCTGCCCCCGCTGGCCCGGATACTTGTACTACCTGCCTTTTCAGCAGGCCCTGATGAAGGTGATGAGCATCCCATTTCCTTATGGGGGAAAAAAAAAAACATCCTTATCCATAGGCCTGGATGCTGAAAGCCTCTGAGGCTGGAAAACCACAGGACGGGGCAGTGGGAAATAAGGAAATACAATCTGCAGAGATTTGGGTGTCTGTCTGTCAGCCTCCCCTGTCCCCGCCCATCACCAAACACAGGCAGCTGTCCTTGGAGATAAATGAAAATTTCCTCTAGCTGTGCTCTTCACTAGAAGTTTTATGTCACTTAACTGGCACAGGTAGCAGCTGTCCCTCTAGTCCTGAGCTCATCATTAAGAAGATTCATGTCTGTGGCTATTTGCAGAACTATAACTTCAGGAAAATGTCGCCTTTCCCCGAGTGTCCTGCGTGCTGTATGTCTGCAGGTAAAAAAAGAGTGGGTTTATTCTGGGGGAGGATTTAGCATACAGCCAGTCACAGGAAAGACTAAAGCCTTTATTTTAGATGTTAAAGCGTGGGTTTGTCTTTACAGATACGTGGCTGCAGATGGCGTGTATGTGAAGGGTTGGTGCAGTTGGTTAGGCAGAGTGCATAACTCCAGTCCATTCACAGAAGGGAGTTCCTGGGCCAAACCTTCTCGCAGGGGAGAGGAAAAGACCGTTTTGGCAGTGTAATCTTTCGTGAAGCCCTCACTGCAAGAGGGTGCTAGATCTTGGTGGTGGCAGCTCTCCTTGGACCCGTGTCCTGCAACGTCTTTTGTGCTGCTGTTTCAGTCTTGTGCTCTGATGAACAGCCCGGTGCCAGGAGTAGCTGCTGCCTTGTTTCCTGGGCCCTCCTGTGACCGTGCTGAGGATGCCTTCTGTCTCTATAGCATTATAAAAGGCACATATACATCTATATACAAGTGCATAAATATATAAATAGGGGTGTTATACAAAAATAAATACCCATTCTCTTTTTCTCTTTAGAATAAGTCTTTTGCAAAAGGCAGCTTGGTCCCTAGCTGGTGGCGGAATGAGTCTCTAAGGGCCTCAGTGGTGGCGGGCTGCTGTTCAGGTGTCTTGGTAGGTCCTGACCCAGAGATGTGATCACTGGATTCTGGGGATGGAGATCTCCTCTGGACTGGCAGCAGTCTAGTCTTTCTACCTCTTCGACCGGCACTAGGCCTAGGCAGCAAGGGCTTCCTGAAGGGGAAAGGAGCAAGAAATTATTACGATGCATACAGAAATGAGAGATGCTGGGGTAGCTTTCCAGTCAGCAGTCCACTTTATGAGGACAAGTAGTCTGATCAGTGGAAGATCTGCATTCTGAAAGTCCTGGCTCCATGGGAGTTTGATCCTGCGCTTGCACACAACGGCTTTGACCCACACAACAGGGGTGGATCAATGGATTAGGGTCTAGGGAGATGGATTAATATAATTTTTCAGGGATGTTGTTGTTCTATTGGTGGTCTGGAAAATGGAAAATTAAGAAGTACTAAAGGACAGTGTCTCTACAACTGGAGGTGGGTATATGCCCTTTCAGCTGCATACAGCTCAGACTGCTGGAGAAATGAGAAATACATCTTTTAAAACTGACTAAGGCAATTTAAAGTCCCCAACTGCTAGTATGGCCTTTCCATGCTCCTGTTCTACACAGTGTTAAAACTGCCCTTGCACCGCAGAAGCAAGCATGGACAGAGTCATCAGAAAGGCTCTACAGTGGGATTTCCCTTCAAGATCAGACGAAAACACTGAGATAAAGCAAGCACAGAATTTTCCAGACCACTGACCTTGGTGGAACAGGGGATCCCGTCGCGCGTCCAGGCTAGGGCCTCCCACTTTGCTGCCCATCACTGGATGATGGAGGCCAACAAAGTGCTCTTGAAGGTGAGGACAGTCATCTTGTGGCTGAAGAAGCTGGTGAGTAGAGTCATCTGGGAGACTGTAGAGGAATGAGCTGTCTTCTGTTCTTGAGTTGGGCAATCTGGGGAGGCAGACAAAGAGGTTTAGCACTAGTAACAGATCGTTCCTCCTTGGAAGATATGACCCGTGTAGCTGCATCAATGCAGTGACACAGAGCATTCCTAAATGAGGGGAAGAGCAGAAACCGGGATGTACTTGTGGGATGGGAAGGAGGTGATGGGACCTGGTACCCACGATTCAAGATCGAGTGAGTGCTGCAGGAGCTGGGAGGAGCGGTGCCTCCCGGGGAGCAAGGGAACAATGACTTGGTGTCTGAACAGTGAGACACAAAGCACCCACAGCTGGGCCCCGGCCAGATTCTGGGGCAGCTGTTTATCAGCAGCCAGTCACAGATGTTAGCTTCTCTCATCCTACTTTTTGGTTTCCCACTTAAGAGCAGGGGGAGGAAAAGGAGGCAGGGGGAAGTAGGGCTTGGCCATCTCTACAATTAAATTATCCCTCCCTCAAAGCTTAAGAGGAATGAGCCATACGAAGAGAATTAAGACCAAGAAGGCCCAGTGCTGGAGTATGGATTTGTTTCCCGAGTGGTTTGGGACAGATGGGAGCACGGCGAGGGCAGGTTTTTGTGAGCACGTAGTCTTGTGGGCCCCGCTGGATTGTGCCAGCCTCCCTTCCACAAGCCAGGCCTAACCTGGAGGGCTGGTAGTCTCGCTGGGCAGTCCCGTTTTGCAGCACTCTCGCCTGCAGCAAGGTGTTGGTCTCCTCGTGTGACTGGAAGGAGAGAGAAGGATTCTCAGCAGAGCAATGCCACGCAGAAGCAGCAAGAGGCAGGCGCTGATCTGGGAGCCAGAGCCCTGGGGCAAACTGGTGAAGCTCTTAGGACAAAAGGTAGAGAAAGCTAAAACTGTTTCTTTTGCTAGAGAGGACAGTGGAACTGAAAAACTCACTTCACGCTTACTGCTGACTCAATGGGGGGGACATTAATCAGTTTATAGTCTCAGCTGGGGCACTGCTTTGGCTTGTGCTACTGTTGACACACAGAGTTCTCAACACTGTCAGCCCCTGCGAGCTTTGCTCAGGAGAAGCAGGAACTATTCCCACAAGAGTAGCCTTTGCTCACTGCCTCCTGAATGCTTAGAGCCACTGCCCCAAGAAACCACCTCTTCACCAGTGTTCTGGAGACCTTCTTGTTCCTCCCATGACTCGGGCTCCACTGAAAAGGGGAAACCTCTTTTTAAGAAGCCAGTCTTGCCACTTCTGCATGCTGCAAAGTGGGCCAGCCATGTCCGGAGAAGCCCTCTCACTGCAACCACGGCCTCCAGCTCATGTCAAACCAACTTTTAACCGCAGGTGTGGACGTACCGGTGGCGCTTCATCTGGACTGTAATCTCGGGGCTTGGTGCTTGCATACCCCACCCCTGCAGCGGGGCAGATGCCATTCAGATGGGCCCCGTTGGCGTAGGGCTGCCCGTTAACATAGGGGTGTCCGTTGGCACGAGGAGCAGAGATGCCCCTCAGCGGCACCATGGTGTACTGGCAGGACGACACCAGCAGCCCAGCTCCTGGGAAGCCCATGTCAATGGTTTGCTCTGCAGAGGGAAGAAAAAAGAAGTCTGAGGCCAAAATCAGAGGTAAGGTTGAGCTTCTTGAAGCTCAGCAGGGATAGCGTTAGGCTGTCCTATCAGGCGGCTGTTTTGGCACCCAAAGCACCCTTGGAGACTAGTGGTGGAAAGGGGCCCTACAGGAAGGCAAAGGGAGTGCCCCTCTCCCCTGTTCTAGTCCCAGGGGTCCCTCTCAACAAGGTAAGCAGGAGAAGGGACTTTAGGGGGTCTTTACAGGGTTCCACAGGACATCTGAGACCCACCCTCTCCCTGCTTCCCCGGATGTGCAGCCCTCACGTTTTGGGTGTTTGACCCAACTACACCCAGGGTCAGATCCAACCCGCAGGGCAGAGCACGTCTTGTAAGTCCACCCTCAAGAAAGAACCCTTACTCTGCTTGGACCAGGCTCTCCAAAGGCAGAAGGGGATGAAAGCCACGATGAGGAGTACAATAGAGCCCAGCACAACGCCTACGATCAAGTACGGCAAGTCACTGGAACGGGCCACCATGGCTCCTGTCCCCAGGCCACTGTGCCCACCACTGAGGGGGGGACGCTGCTGGGGGGGCACTGTGGAGGGTGGAAGACGACCTGGCAGACTGAGAGACTTCCGAGCTGCGAAGGGAAGAGAGAGAGCACGCGTTAGAGGCAGACATGGCAGATGGAGTAGCAGCCTGCTCCGGGGATGTCTGTGCTGCTGAGGAGTGGACAGGCTTCTACCGTGGCTTTAAAAAAGTGCTCCTGGATGACAGAGGCTTTCCGAGGCTGATGCATATTGCAGTGCAGACTTGGCTTGCAGCTCTGCCAGGCTGCTAAAGCAAAAGGAAAAAGGAAAAGAGCTTCTCCAAAACACACGCTTGGACTTCATGCTGTTCCAGCTGCTTGGGAAGACAACCTGGGACCTGCTTATAACCAAAGACAGGAGATCAGCACAGCAAGGGCAAGTTAGCCCTCCTGGTTCCGGTCACCATCTGTGTGAGACTTAGGAAAACTAAAGGTAACTACTGCCCTGAGGAAAATAGCGACGGATCTGCACAAGGGGTCTGTGAGTACCAGTATGGGTATACAGACATACCGATCCACAGCATCTACAAATCTAGGGCTCTCTTCTCCCCGGTGCTGCCTCCACCCGCTCGCCTGAGCTTGGGTGACACACGTCAGGCAGGGCTGGTACCTGCCGTGCTGCGCTCCGGCAGCTGCAGGCTGCGCTCCCCGAGCTGCCCTGGCAAGCTGGTTACCTTTGGTTTCACAGATCATCACGTTGCTGAACTCGCTTTCGCCACCCTCGTTGAAGCATTGCATCTTAATGTCATACGAGGTCTCTGGCTGCAGGTGGCTGATGGAGTGCCAGTACCGGTCTCCTGAGGAGGGAACAAACACGCGGTGCCGTCAGCTCCCTCGGGGAACAGGCAGCTGGCCCAGCCCTGCACCAGCGCCGGGGGACAGCAGCAGCAGCCACCTTCTGCTCTCAGGGCTCCTCCCGGCCGTGTGCTCCTCCAGGAGGAACCAGCAGCCCAGACCAGTCTCCCACTATCTCCTACCTTCCACCACGTCCTTCTTGTAGTCGCTGTCATTGTCACTGTCAGTGGGGCGGTAGTAGATGTAAAAACCATGGATGGGCGTGTTGTTGTTGCTGGCTGGGATATACTGCAGAGAATGGGAGGGAGAGCAGAAATCAGCAGAGAGGTCTGTGCTGCATGTTGTACTAGGCGAGGAGCAGTGGGGATAAATGGGATGGGATGGGATGGGAGGAAGACCCAGCAGGGGGATCTTCCTTGTGTTGCCATGGGTTTGCACAGTAAGAGCTTCCTTCCCAGAGCTCACTGCTACTTCACACTCTCACCCCTTGCTTCTCTCAGGTGACAGACAAGTCATGAGTCTGGTCCTGTCACCCCAAGCATCCAGTGCTCTGCTCCCTCTCAGCAGCCACAGCCGGTGCTTCGGAGAGGAAATTCCTCAACAGCAGTGACTCAGCTGGGCAAGGACTAGCACGCCTTCACCTTGACTCCAGGAGGCTCACGGCTCCCAGACAAACCGCATCTTGCCACGAACCGGTGACTGCAAGAGTCTTGTGCTTCTGAAGACAGCTCTGTTCCTCCCCCACCCAGGGCAGTACTGTCCCAGCTCCATGCGTTCTCGCTGTCTTTCACCCAGTGTTTGTCAGTTACCGTTTGTGTTTAAATGAACAGCAGTGCCCAGCCTGCCTTGTAGCAATTTCTGGCTAGGAGCAGCTAGGAGAGAAGAGCATAATGTGTCCCCCTCTGAATAAGTTCTAAGCTGTTGGAAACACTTGGATCTAGGCTTGTCATCCAAAAGATCCTTCCCACTCCTTAAAATGCTCTGGTGTGGACTGCTGTAAATGATTATCAGCACTCAGGACTGCTACCCAGCCAGTGAGAGTGAAGGACCTACCTCCTGGAAACTACCAGGACAGACAGAAGTACTAATGGATTCCAGGAATTGGGCCAGGAGAGCAAGCAGCCGCCCCATGCGTTGTTGGACTGCGCTTGCAGAACAAATGGTCAAGACCCTGAGGTTATCTGCTGAAATGCCTCCTGTGGACAGTGCTGCATTCAGATGAAAAGGGTTTCCTAGGCTCTCTGACTTCCCCCCACTTCTGTGCGGCCCAATCCCAGTCCTCCTTTGGTGGAGGGGGCTAACGGATCCCAGATCCATTGGTGCCGGTGCCGGGCTCCAGTGTGGTACCCTGGAAGATGTGCAAGCTGGGCAAGCAGCACCCACAGCCCTGCTTCCTGCACGTTCAGAGATCTCCGCCCCTACAAACCTTACCATCCACTTCAGCATGATGGTGGTCTCGTTGATGGCATCGGTGAAGGTGATGTATGGCCCGGCCACAGGGCGCTCGTACACTCGGTTGCTGTACCCAGACACCACATACGGCCGAGACGCCGCGCTGGGCTCGCTCTCTCCAAGGATGTTCAGTGCCCGGACACGGAATTTATAGGATGTGCCTAGAGGGAAAATGGGAAATAAGAGTGGAAGAGATTGGAGTCTTCCAGGACTTCTGCTGTCAGCACAGGCCTAACTGTGGAGAGGGGCTGCATGGTCTCCAGAAGGCAGAGAGACTTTTGATCCAAGTACAGACACTGCATGGCCAGATTTCAGCCACGTGCTAGATGGAGCCTGCTTTTATTTGCCTTCCCCAATTCCTATCTAGGAGGTCTAGAGGTCAGGTAACAGTTCTGGAAGATGTGTTGGTGGATTCAAAGGTTTCTGAAAGGATGTCTTGACCCAAAGCAGGTACGGGAAGGTGTCCTTCCCATGGAAGGGAAATTAACTTCTACATGGAAATTAAGTGCATAAACACCAGTTAAAAGCTCAAAGCCTAAGTAATTTTTACCCAAAACGTTGTGCTACTGGTCTTTAAGCTGGGGTAAATACGCTGTGCTTTTAAGCTGTCCAGCTCAGTGATGCCGTCTTTTCCCACGTGAAATGCAATGGGAATTGTGCGCCCATCTGTCTTGCCTGTGGCTAAGGAAAGTTCTGTCCTGTCTCGTAAATGGCAAAACCAAATGCCTTCAGTAACTATATCCTGTAATACAGGAAAGCACGAGCAAGCCTCCCGGAGGGAGGTCAAATCTACGCTGGTCTTTGCAGCTGGAGAAATTGGAGAAGCATCTGCAGCTTCTCCCCGTGCAGCCAGGGTGGGAGCTGGGGAGGCATTGTTTTGCTCGCACATGCCGGGGCTAAGCCTGACGTGACAGATGGTTAACCATCCTGCGGGGACCGCGCAGCTTCCCTGCAGACCTCCAGGAAGCCAGGAGGAGAACACCTGCCTACCTTTCTCCAAGCCTGGGATTTCCACAGAGAGGCGAGAGGGAGGAATGTCGCTGGTGGCCAGGACCCAGTCTCCCAACTTCTTCAATTTCTTATATTCCACACGGAAAGACTGGATAGGGAACCCGCCGTTCCCACGGGGGATCCAGGTCACGTACACAGATGTCTCAGACGCCATGGAGATGGTTGGGCGGTCTGGTGCCTCCGGAGCTGCAAGGGGCACAGAAGGACATCAGGACATGAAACACATTCCTCTCGCCCTGGCTGGAAGATCCTGTTGCTCAGAGGTATGCGAGTGAAGGACTACCTGCGCTGCACCCACCCACAGTGTCAAAGTCCTGAATGCTCTCTTCTTTCTGTCTCTTCCCGAGAGCTGGCACCCCCCCCAAATCCTCACTCCTTTCGGTCTGTGCCCTGCAAACATCTTTTACTCCTGCTTGCATCTTGCTCCTTTTCCGCTCCCAACTCAAGTAGGATGAGATGAGATTTGAGGCGCGTCCACCCATCACGGGAGGGAGAGCAGTGAGAGGTGGGGGTGCGGGGCTGGGCGCGGAGCAAAAGGCCTGGCTGGCGTGGAAGCAGCGAGCAGCGGGAGACTGGCACCGCGGACGGGCGAGTGTAGGAGGAGAAAATGGGAGGGACTGAGAAGAACCAGCTGAGGAGGAAACAGGGAGAAGTTCTGAACTGTAGAGATGCGCTTTGATAGGAAAACAATCAAATGATGGGAGGGAAAGAGACGAACGGAGCTGTGGAGATGAAAGAAAAGGCAACACATGAGTGAGTGGGGGGGACTGAAGGGAGAGGACTTCACAGAAAGGCTAAGGATCGAAGGAGAGAATGTCACAGAAAGGATAATGGCATTGGTGAATAATAGGAACGGCAGGCACAAGGTGGGAAACAATGAGTTGGATTAACCAGTAAAGAACTGATGTTCCTCCAGTGCAGCAAAATACCCAGAACGGGCACTAACTGCCCCGTGCCAGGGCTTGGCTGAGGGAGGAGGGTGGCAGGACCTGAAGGGGCTTGGTTCCCCCTTCTCCCTCGCCTTCCCCCAGCACCCAGCGGTGGTGGTGCGCGCCAGCTGCTTGGTCCTCTGCCGCCGCACGTTCGCAGACTCCACGGCAGGGCTTTCCGAACCCTCCAGGAGAAACTCGGCCAGAGACAGCGAGTCTCTGACACGTCCTTGCGTTCGTGGTGGGGGCAGGCAGCGGGATCAGCCTGCTCCCCTGAGCCAGGCCGCCTGCCGGGTGCGGTAGCAGGGGTGTCCGAGGAGGACCTCTCCTACCTCCTCAGGAGCAACCCCCCCGAGCTTTGCACGGACTGTGCTTCACCCAGCAGAAACTTCAACCCCAGCGCAGCCCGGCCACCGCCACCCACAAGAGGTCCAGCACCCCTCGCCCTCCCTCCTCGCCCGGTTTGGGGAGGGCCTTACGGGACAGACGGCTGTTGTCGGACTGGTTACTGCTCTGAGTGCTCGTGCCTGGGTCGTCCCTCTGGATTTGCTGCTCTTTGCTGGCAACAATCTCTGGTTTTGGGCGCCGGCCTGTGCAGAAGGGAGAGGTGGCATCAGTGACACAGAGACACGGCTCAGGGTTCATTTTTGCTGTGATGAGCAAAGAAAGTATTCCCAGCCATGATGCCAAGGTAAGCACTCTCAGGACTCAAACGGCCCCAGGGGTTCAAAGCAATCAACCAGCAGGGAGGAACTAAACCTAAGGGGCAGGTTTGTTAAACCGGTAATAGGTCCCCTTCATATTTAATTTTCTAAAACTTTTAATTGGTTTTCTTGAAATATAGCTATCTTTCTACCTGGGAAGGTAGTAATTAGCACAAGACGGGGGCCTGAGGGGAGACGTGAGCAAGCCCACCACCATGGGGAGGGTTGCTACAGAGGAAATGCCATTCCCCACACCTGCTGGAGACAGGAAAAGTGGCCAGGAGACAGGGGGACTCAGCACAGGCATTTGGGACATCCTTTTAGTGGCCAAGACAGCTCAGCACCAAACAGACTGCACGGGAAGGCCTGGAGTTTCCTTTAGTGCAGGTCAAGCTTTTAAGGACAGATTAGACAAACACCTGTTGGGAACAACCCCTGTCTCCCCACAGAAGATGGATTAAGTGACCTCTTGACATCCCCGCTGGACCTATTATCTACGGTTCTGCAGGTGTCCAACTGAAGACACTGAGGGAGGAAGGGACTTGCTCCAACCCAGGCAGAGGGCAAGACCTGATTTTCCTCATCCTCTTTCAAACCCACTCGCCACTTTCCCTTCTGACAGAGTCGCTCTAAGCTGAGGGCAGATGGGTTTCCAGAGCAGAAACGGCCCCTCTGTCCTAAGGCTGGTGCCTGTGCCTCAGGGCTGGGGAGGGATGTCCCCGAGTGGCCCTCCCCTGACTCAGAGCAAAACACCCAGGGAAAGGTTTGACGTTTACCGGTCCGGAAGGTCACCATGGCCGTCTGTCCCTCGCCAGCACAGTTGTGAGCAGCCATCTCCACCTCGTAGAGGCTCCCAGGGTCCAGCCTGGTGAGGGTCAGACGATGCTGCGAGGCTGGGACGTCCCTCACTGCCCAGCTGTCCGAGGCATTGGTGACCTGCTGAGAGACCAAGGCAGGCGTTGCAAAGCTGGGGGCAGGCTGGGCTTCTTGCCTGCACCGAGCTCAGAAACTTCCGTGACAGTTTGTGTATCAACCAGGGCTGCCTTCCCGGCCTGGAGGCCAGTTCCCTGCCTGCAGAGGAGGGAGATGTCTCCAGCCTGATTTTGCAGAGCTGAAGGATTCATGTGTCAGCAGGACAAGCCACCAAGCACCGAGGTGTCTTCTTGACCCCAGAGGTGCACTCAGCCCCGTTCTGTCCGCTGCTCCCCTCTGACACCACTGCCCCTCAACGCGCGTAAAGCTCTGGAGCTGGCGTGCCCACGAAAGGCAGCATCAGCCAGAGGCTCGAGCTGCTTTAGGAGCCAAAGCTCCTGCAGCCCAGCTGCTGAGCTGCTCATTTAGACACTGGCCATTTCCATCAGGTGAGGTACTTAGACACTGCTTTGGTCATCTGGACCTGCATCATTTGACTGATGGCTTTTTATCCAGTTTTATCCAGCCGCACTGCTGGCACTTTCTGGCTGAGATGAGGAGCCGTAACGTTTGAGCACAGGTTTCTACAGGGAAAAGAGACCGTGTATGGCTGTGGCCCCCAGAAAGGCTTGGAAACACAGTTCGTTTTTTGGTGATGCCCTGACACCCCATGCAGACGGAGGGGGAAGGTGGGACCTTCTTCCTTCTCCCCAGCTGCAAGGATAATATTTTTGCAGGCAAATAAGCAGGACACTGAAGTGACCCGGTGCCGAAAGGAGCATTAGCAATGCGGGCTACGCAACAAAACGGAAATGCCAAGACTCTGCTGTATCATTCATCTTCTCCGAGCGTTTGACACTGACTGATTAATGCCTGCCTCGTTTTATTTTTATTCCCGAGCCCGCAGAGTTGTGAGGCCAGGGAGGGGAGCCCTAAAGACTGCTAATATCCAGGAAAGAAAAAAAGAGAAATTCTTAAGAAACAAAGATAACAACTGCATGGCATCCGACTGCTTGCAGGCTTCTTAGATTTTAGGGGCAGCGTAAGAGCAGGAATAAAGAGACATTCCCAGATACTTTCCAGAGAATCAGACCCTTGCCCAGTACAAATGTTAACCTCCTGTCAGTAGGTTTTACTTTCCTTATAGCTATCTTTCACACAAAGAGTCTCTTCTTTTGTTGCTGAATTGGTTCTTTCCCTCTCTGCACACATGCTTTTCCAGTCAGAGACGTCAAAAACCAGATCATTATAAAACTTGATCCTAAGGATCTCCGACAGAAAGAGACTCTTTCTAAACAAGCTTAAGGGTTATTGGGTCTAATTCCTTTCCACACAATCCTTAAGCATCCCAAGAAAGAGTCTCCAGCTGAGAATTTGGACTACACTGAAAACATATTACTGCGAACTGCAGTGACCCACGGTGACCTCCACTGCCCTACAGCCCCTTCCAGGTGAAGCGCTGAAAAACAAATAAAATATGGACAAACTCCAGCCTGCAAGTTAAGATTGCATGCAGAATTGGTAGTTACATGATACACCATTGGGAGACAAATCTCTTCCTGCCCGACAACCAGAGCCAATAGTTTGCTGAGGCTTCTGGCATCTTTTGTTTTTTATTTAAGCTTGCCCTATTGTTTTCTTGTGTTGTCATCTTCTGCCTTTGTTTTAAAGGGTTCTTTAAAGACACAGCTGAAACCCTTAGCTTAAGTTTCGTTTAGAAAGAAATCAAAGATGTGTAGGGATTTTAACAGCCTCTTATTATACTATATTTTCACAATATCAAACAATGCCAGGAAAACAGACACATATATTCACATATAATTGAAAACGGTGCCTTGGAATGGCTGGGAATCCAAAACATGCCAGATTTGGAACGTACTCAAACCCCAAAGCAAAACCTGCCTCTCTACTGCAGCTCCCTGCCTACCCAAAGGAAACACAAGCAGCAAACGGATAAATTCAAACCCCTTTTTTTTCCCCACTTATAGCCAGAAAAATGGGAAGAGATGCTCTACACCCGAAAAGCAGGATTTTAACCTTGCAGTGCTTCACGATTTAGAGAAACTGCTGGGCTACAGCTCTGCCTGCGGTGCTGAGCAGCACTGCAGAGGGCCGGGGCCCCCAGGCTCAAGCAGAGCTCGGCAGTGCCACCAGCCAAGAGGCACGCTCAGCAGTGCACTGCCTTTCAGCCTCCAGAATCAAACCGGTGGTGGAGGACCTTCCCGGAGGATTCCGCACGGCTCTCGGCCGGCTCCTCACCGTCACCCCGTGCGGGTGCTTCAGTGCTGCTGAGCAGGGCAGGTCTGCGGAGCAGAGAGGGGCTGCTGCTCTGTGCCCTGCAGCCCAGGCCTTTCAAGGCAGAGGTGTCCCCAGTGACTTGGCCCAAGGCAAAAGCATTGCAGAGCCAGTCACGGCACAATCTGCCCTCAGGACTTCCTACCTGTGCAAGCACACAACAGGGAACTGGAAGCTCTTCTGGCTGGAAACATGTGTGTGTGTGTGTGTCTGTGTGTGTCTGTCTCTGTGTGCGTGTGTGTCTGTGTGTGTGTCTGTGTGTGTGTGTGTCTGTGTCTGTGTGTGTCTGTGTGTCTGTGTCTGTCTCTGTGTGTCTGTCTCTGTGTGTCTGTGTGTGTGTCTGTGTGTGTGCGTCTGTGTATCTGTCTCTGTGTGTGTCTGTCTGTGTGTGTCTGTGTCTCTGTGTGTGTGTGTCTGTGTATCTGTCTCTGTCTCTGTGTGTCTGTCTGTGTGTGTCTGTGTCTCTGTGTGTGTGTGTCTGTGTATCTGTCTCTGTGTGTGTCTGTCTGTGTGTGTCTGTGTCTCTGGGTGTGTGTGTGTCTGTGTATCTGTCTCTGTCTCTGTGTGTCTGTCTGTGTGTGTCTGTGTCTCTGTGTGTGTGTGTCTGTGTATCTGTCTGTCTCTGTGTCTGTCTGTGTGTGTCTGTGTCTGTGTGTGTGTGTGTGTCTGTGTATGTCTCTGTCTCTGTGTGTCTGTCTGTGTGTGACTGTGTGTCTGTGTGTGTGTGTCTGTGTATCTGTGTCTCTGTGTGTCTGTCTGTGTGTGTCTGTGTCTCTGTGTGTGTGTCTGTATCTGTCTCTGTCTCTGTGTGTCTGTCTGTGTGTGTCTGTGTCTCTGTGTGTGTGTGTGTGTCTGTGTATCTGTCTCTGTCTCTGTGTGTCTGTCTGTGTGTGTCTGTGTGTCTGTGTGACTTTGTATCTGTCTCTGTGTGTCTGTCTGTGTGTGTCTGTGTGTGACTGTGTGTCTGTGTGTGTGTGTCTGTGTCTCTGTGTGTGTCTGTGTGTGTGTGTGTGTCTGTGTGTCTGTGTCTCTGTGTGTGTGTGTGTGTGTCTGTGTATCTGTCTCTGTCTCTGTGTGTCTGTCTGTGTGTGTCTGTGTCTCTGTGTGTGTGTGCCTGTGTATCTGTCTCTGTGTGTCTGTCTGTGTGTGTCTGTGTGTCTGTGTGTGTGTGTCTGTGTGACTTTGTATCTGTCTCTGTGTGTCTGTCTGTGTGTGTCTGTGTGTCTGTGTGTGTGTGTCTGTGTGACTTTGTATCTGTCTCTGTGTGTCTGTCTGTGTGTGTCTGTGTGTGTGTGTGTGTGTGACTGTGTGTCTGTGTGTGTGTGTCTGTGTCTCTGTGTGTGTCTGTGTGTGTGTGTGTGTCTGTGTGTCTGTGTCTCTGTGTGTGTGTGTGTGTGTGTGTGTATCTGTCTCTGTGTCTCTGTGTGTCTGTGTGTGTCTGTGTGTCTTTGTATCTGTCTCTGTGTGTCTGTCTGTGTGTGTCTGTGTCTGTGTGTCTGTGTGTGTGCATATACCCTCTGCATACTTGGGCACCACCACGGGCTTTTCTTGGACAGCTCAGCAAACCTCCTCTCGCAGGCCGTACCCGTCACACCTCAACAGGCTGAGGCTGCAGCCGGGGAGGCCCCAACCAGTGCCACCAGCGAGCGACGGGTGCCCCTGCCCCAACGCACCTCCTCACGGGGTGCGAAAACGTGCAGCGAGGCCACCAGCCCACCTGCGGAACGGCGCGGAGGAAAGATGGGAACAGGGCGAAACGGCGATACCTTGCGATGCTTCACCACGTAATAGAGGATGGGGGCTCTGCTGTCGGGCCGGGGTCTCCACACCAGGTCGTAGCTGTCCGTCTTGGATGTCCGGGGAGAACTGAGGATGACGGGGGCCTCGGCTGGAGACACCAGCTCCCTGTTGGCTGCACACTGTGGAGATGCTGCCAGCGGGGTCGTCCCAGGCTTTGGCGGGCCTGCTTTATCCAGGGGCAGCTTTAAGGCACTGTCCTTGGAAGGTGGTGTTGGAGGCTGAGCCGAGCCCAGCTGGGCATCTCGCCCAGGGTTGAGCGTTGCTCCTGAAAGACAAGGTGTCGAGGCAGGGTAAACGCCTGTCCCAGGCTGCGGTGGAGGCAGAGCTATGAGCCCCTCGAGCCTTGCAGAAGAGCGGTGCAGTACATCCACTGCAGCCCAGGTATCTTAGAGGTGCCAGGTCCCAGGCGCTGCTGCCTGCTGTGACACTCCAAAAGGTGGTGGGAACGTTCTCTCCTTCTCCTGCTGCAAACCTAACATGCCTCACTGGGGCCTCTCTGAGAACAGGCCTCGGCCACGTGGGGCTTCCTCCCCTCTGAAGCCCCCCCCTTACCCTGGATAAGTTCAGCAGGGTCCAAGGAATCAGGTGGTTCCTCTCCTACCCCAGATGAATCCGTCCACCTCAGCGTTTATGCCGAGTAAGCCCCGGGGTAAGGCACTACACCCAGAGGTCCTGTGCCTCTCGGGTAGAGGCAGAGCAAGTTTGCACACGTGGCACTGCACTGAGAAGCAAAACCACTGCCGTCCCTACAGGGAGAAACGGAAATCTCACCCCAAAAAAGGCACTTGAAGTGTAGGGTAAAAGGGAGGGAAGAGCAAGGTGGCTCAAACACAAGCGGGAAGGTCACCCACCAACTTTCTTCCCCTGCCCTTTCCCCCGTGCGTTTGGGTCTGGGGCTGGATAGTCACGAGCTTGGAGAGCGGGACTTACCTGGCCTGGCTGTCCTCAGCTGCACCATGGCTTGCGCGCTGCCGACCTCGTTCTCCGCCATGCACTGGTAGATGCCATCATCCTCGGGCCCCACGCTGACCAGCCGCAGCGCCCGGCGGGAGAGCCGGAGCCGGTGGCTGGCGGAGAGGGGGACGGCGTTGCGCAGCCACATGACGGAGGGCTGGGGGTTCCCTCGCACCTCGCAGGTGAACTTGGCGCTCTGGCCCCAGGGAATGATCTGCTGGGACACCTCCATGGTGACCTCCGGGGGCTCTGTGCGGGGGGGAAACACACGGTTGCTGCGTGCCACTCGGCAGGGAGCGCGGCACGGTCACGGCTTCGCACCTTCCTCTCCGGCAGGGACGAGGGCGGAGTGATGGATCCTCACCCCGGCCCCAAGCCCCACTCCCTTCATGGGGGCCCACAGGAGTCCGCTCCATCGCGCCTCCCCCTTCAGCATCCACGTGAACCGCAAGAGGAGGCGGCCCAAGGCCACCTGGCCCTCTCAGGTGACAGCAGCCACTTAGGATGTTCCATTTTTCTGAGCTGAATTGCTACTCTGCAAAGACTGCGGCTGTGCCAAAACAACACATCAGCACCTGGATGAACCTCAATCCACTAAAACACAGGCTTAGCCTCCCTAATGCTTGTGAGAAGGGGAAGGATGCGTGGTAGAAATGTCTAAGGTGCAGTATCCCTTACACTTCCCACCCCATAGAGAGAGCTTCCCTGCAGAACAGAGCAAAAAGCAAGACGCTCTGATGTCTTCCCTACGTCAATGTGAAATAGGTCTAAGAAGCAGCCAGTCCTGCACTAGGAAGTGTCGGAGCAAGGCCAGTGCCACAAATGACAAGAGGAGAGCTTCTGCAGAGGAAGGGAGGATCCATCATCCCTAGCCCATGGTGGGAGCCAGGAAGGAGGAACGACCACCCTCAGGGGAAAATCTGTCCCACCTCCTAGAAAGCGGAACCACAAGCAGGGGTTTGCATTACACAGGAGTTTGTCCAGGGCGAGGCAGAGCACAGCAGCACTGGCATTTCCCCCTGAAAGCGGTGGAGAAAGTCCAAGCCCTCCCTGAAACGAAGGCTACAGCAGCACTCACCAAACACCTGCACGTTGTAGAAGATGAAGGCGGCTCCGGCGTCCCCAACCCCATTGTCAGCCGTGCAGCTGTAGGTGCCCGAGTCCTCCTCACTCGTGGGGTCAATCAGGAGGTTGCTGAGCAGGAAGCGCGTCTTGTTGTACGCGGAGACGCTGGAGCCATCTTTGGCCCAGGTGACCCGCGGCGGGGGGATCCCGCTGGCCACGCACTCCAGGATGAGGCTTTGGCCCTTGGTGACAATGATGGTCTGAGCTTCGGGCGGGTAGATTATCCGAGCTGCCTCCGCTGTGGAGCCTGGGGAGGAGGGGAGGAGGTGGGTGGGGAGGAAGGTGCCCGGTGGGAAAGCACCCTGTGCAGAGGGCGGGCAGGGGTACGGGGAGGGCCAGCACGCCGCTGCCCTGCACCGGGGCGGATGGACGGCACCGCGGGCCAAGAGGGACATTCCGTAAGGGATACAGGCACACAGCAAGAGGCCTTTGCTCCCCCCATCACCAAGAACAACCCCCTGAGGAGGTACGGCCACCCCAGGGTGGCAACACACCCACCCCAGACCCGGGAGCAGACCTTGGGGCCTTCTGCTGCTGGAAAGGATTTTCCCGGCAACCGGTAACGTCGGTTCACACGGAAAACCAGCTGCGATAGCGCTGGTACGCGCTCCCAGGGCTGGAAGCGCCCCGGAGAAGATGTGAGGCGGAGGGAGAGCGGCTTACGTCTCACACGGAGCCTCTCACTGGAGACTGAGGTTTTCACCTCCTGCGTCACAGGGTTGTAGGCAGCACATTTGTAAGTCCCCTCATCCTCTTGGCTGGCATTGACGATCTGAAGGTTCCCAGATGGCATGATAAGGTAATTGTCTGTAAAGAGAGAAAAGGAGGTGGCATGCGGTCACAAGATCCGTTCCCTGTTCCTGTCCAGCCTCCTGGTAGGCATGCAGCGCCCTGAAGAAAGGAGGGATGAGAAGGATGGGAAAAAAAAATGCAGTAACAGCAGCAGCACTGATCCCTTCTGGTTCAACGATCAGGGGGAGCAATGATGCAGCGATGGAAGGAACAGAGCCTCAGGTGAAGCGGGCTCATCACAGGTACGTGCAGCAGATGGAGCGAAGCTGCAAAATTCAGATCCAAATTTTTAAAACTTCCCCAAATTCAAAGTTTCCTTCGTGCAGGCTGGGCTAGAAGAATGCTTCACGGACACATGGAGACACCCAATGAAGAGTGACGTTGTGCCTCACCTTCCTTTGCTTGCTTTCGCCTTACCACAAGCTGGATCCCCAGTCCCAGGCAACGGGGACGTCAGGGAGACCTGGCAGAGACCCTGAACTAACCTGAGCTCAGACCGGCGGCGAAGGGACAATGAGGAGGCAGCGGGCAGAGAAAGCTACTGCTGGTGGGGGACGGTAAAACCGAGGGTTCTGGGAGGGGACCCAGCGGGACAGACCCCCGTGGCACTCACCGCGGGAGGCCTCTAGCCACTCCTGCTTCACGCTGTAGCGGACCTGAGCCTTGGGGTGACTTTCAGGCAGGTCGCAGGCGATCACGGCCGTGTTCCCTTCATCCACCTCGATCACGTGCTGGCCATCGAACTTGAAATCTTTGAGATCTGCAGAGAGAGTGAACGACAGGGCACCTCGGTGGCCGGCTCAGCAGCTCGGTGTCAGCCCATCCTCCCCCTGCGGACCCGGGGCTGTTTCACTGCGGGGTTGGCAGAGGACCGCTCTGTCCCCAGCAGCTAGGGAAACTGGCCTGGTTTCAGAGCATTATTGTTCTTCTCCTCCTCCTTCCTACCAAATGGACAACTTAAAACACAGCTTCAGGAGAAACTGCCGGCTCCATGGCTGAGAAACCGGGTGCGACAAATCCCGGCCCGAGAGTGAAAAATGAGCCAACTCACTGCAGCACTGAAGGGTGGGCCAAAAATGGTCCTTCTGCCACCTGCTAGTTCAAATGGGGCTGCCACCCCGCTACTGAGAAGCTAACTTTGTAGTCATAGCTCAGGAAGCCCAGTCTGCTTCGAGGGTGTACAGTGACACAGTGGCAGAAGGTGTGTAAGTGCCGGATGCTCCCAGAGATGCCCTGAGCAAACTCCAGTGCGTGAGCAATCGGCCTCTCCTCTCTGGGCACTCTCGCTCCCATTAAATATCTCACAGCCAGAGGCTGGTTAATCATGATGCTTTTCATGTGCCCAAGCCCCAGTTCAAAGAACAGGGACTTGCAAGGTAAAAAAAAAAGCTCTTCCTCTACACTGTATCGCTGCCCCCTCCCTAAAGCAGCCACAAAAACACCCCATGTCCCAGCACGTGTCCCCCTATGAGGCTGTGATGGGGGTCGCTCCCCTGGCGGGGCCAACGCAGGCAGCAGGATTGGAAGCACAGGGGCGGGGTGGGGGGTGAGGAAGGGGCGTTTGACTTTCTGTTTTCTTTTCCCTGTTTTTCAAAGCAGGAGCAGAGGACTGCAGTGAAACCCCAGGGATCTGGCAGGGCAGGGAGCACAGCAGCCGGGCCTCGCCAAGCTCCCCAGAGATGCAACCGGGCCCCGCTTTCCCCCGGGCACGATGGCAAATCATGCCAGGGCGCCGCAAGCCCCGAGTTTGTCTCGGTCAGCCGGGAAAAAAAACCGAGTCCCGCGCTGGCGTGCGCTTTTACAGCGCCGTGCACCAGCCCCGGCGACCACTAGTGCCAAGCGCGCATCCCGCGGCCGGGTCGCACGTCACGTTGCCGCATCAAGGCTCGAGCCGGCCCATCGTCCCCAGGCTTCTCCCGAGCGGCGAGACGGCGCTTCCTTTTCAAAACCCCACGCGCTGAGGCAGCACGTCGCATCCGTCACCGCGGCACGGCCTGGCCACGCGCTGTCAACAGCTCCCTCGCCCCTCGAAACCCATCCCGGGCCGTGGCGCCCGCGACCTCGGGCAGTTTGGAGAGCCTGGGGGTGGGAGGGGGGGGGGAGCGGGAGGGCTGGTGGCGGGCGGCCGGCAGGCAGCCTCCCTTGGCAGCCCCAACCAGCAGAAAAATGTGTTTTTGTTCTCTGGGAAATGCAGCAGCACTCCAAGAGCAGAAGACAGCTCTGGCTCCAAGCTTCTCCCACCCACAGTCATGGAAAAGTGACATGAAATTTCTCAAGCAGACTTTCTGATTAAAGCAAGAGCCTTTATGGAGTTTAAATAAAAACCAGCTCTCTTGGCAAGGCGGCGAGAAAGCCTCCCCGAGCGCGGCGCGGAGGGGCTGCCGGGTGGCTGCCGGGGGAGCCAGCGTTCCCGGGCCCAGATCTGAGGGAAGGGGAGGAGGTTGAAAAGAAAAGGGGAGGTTTTGCAATGTCATAAAAATGATTTGCAGCGAACATACTTAATACTTCTGGAATTTCTTGGCATCGTTCAATTAAAAAAAATAATAATAAAAAGAAGGAATACGGGTGAACTTCAGAAATGTGATTAATCCTTTAAGACAAGCCGAGGAGGGGAGCCATGTTTCCACTGGGTATTAAAGCCAGATGAAGGTTAACTCTTAACTTGTGAAAAGCTGGCAGCGACTCGTGCTCCTCCAGCAATGAAAGTTACTGCTGGGGAGGGGAAGGTTGCTGGATATTCTCTCCTCTTTGCTTTTTATATTTGATCAAGGAATAAAATAGTAAGAGCCACAGAAATGGAAAGAGGTGGAGAAGAGGCGAGAGCCCAGCATCTGCCTGCCCACATCACGCATATTTCTCCGATCAACCAAATATAAACGAGCATCAGGAAAATTAATGTGTGCCTTGGTGGTCTGGATTCATCACAGCCAAATTAAGATTTCGGAGCCAAGGCATAGGCTCCAGCAATGCTGGCAGGGATCTACACACACACAGAGAAACACGCGTGCGCACGCGTACACAGACCCCAAAGAGGATGAGAAACGATGTCCCCATGGCAAGGGACCCCCGAGACAACCTTGGGCTGAGTGGACGTGGGGGTCCCTCGCGTGCAGCCCCCCCCAGACGGCAGCTCAGCCCACCGCGCTCACAGCGGTGAGTGCTGCAGCCCCACGGTGGGGAGCAGGACCCCCGGGTCTTCCTGCCTTCCCCTCCCAGCCCGGCCACGCGAGACAAGAGGCGAAGCTGTGGACAGAGGGGGAAAGGATGGAGGAAAGGAATCCAGGGAAGGAATCCTGGGGTGGCTGGGGGAACAAGAACTGGGCACCGCTAGAGAAAAACAAGCAGGGGAGAGGGGAAAAACATCAGGTGGGCACCCGGGACAAGCTATTTTCCAATACGCAAGTGTACGAGCTTCCTGCCAAACTACTCCCCTAAATTCCCGCTCCCCCACAGCAAACAAGACTGTTTTATTTGTCAGTGGGTTTTGGCCACGGGCGGTCTCAGCCGCCCCGCTCCCCGCTGCTGCGGGCACATACAGCCGTCCATTAACGCCGATGGGTCAGCCAGAGCTGGCGAGGGGTGTTCGGGAGCACCCCCCGGCCCCCTCTGCGTGGGATGAGACACCCCCCCCCCCCCCCCCCCACACACACACACATCCTGTTCCACTTGGCCCCAGCACAGCAAAACGGAGGGTTCCACGCTGGGCTGGGCCACCCAGCTTCATCCTGGGGGCTTCATATGAGCTGCCCCCGAGACGCGGGGGGCCACGCGTGCCCCCTCCCCGCCGGGCAGGGTGGAGGAGAGGGCCAGCGCCGGCGGGGGACGCAGCGCTCGCCCCTTCGGCTGCCCGGCCAGCAGCAGCCGTGCCCCTCCTCTAACATGCAATTTGCACCCCCAGCCTAACTCCCGCCACAGCCGGGAGAAACCACATCCCCTCTCCACTGGCTGGGTTTTCCTTTTCATACAGCGGCGCCTGGCGTGCCAGCCCATGTCCTTGTCCTTAAAAGACACGCTTGCTCGCAGGGAAGCAGCAACCACCAGCCACCAGCAACCTCATCCACCAGCCACTGGCCGGGAGGTGCTGCGGACAGACAGACAGAGCACTGCCCCAGCTGCGCAGGGACAACAGGGCTGATTTTTTGTCCCGTTTTTTTTTTTTTTTTTTTTTTTTGTTTAGAAGGGAGTGCAACCAAAGGCCATTGCTTATGTCCATCTGCGCCCCGCTCCGAGGCACGATGGGGTGAGCCGGGGCATGGGGAGGGTCAGCCCCGCGACTAGCTGCGCCGCTGTCATCGGGGAGGGAAACCAGCTGAATCCCAGGGCTGGGGGCCAAGCAATGAGGCAGGCGAGACAGATAGGATTAAATGAATGGGAGACCATAAATAACTTGGAGAAGAAGCAGTAGTAAATAAAATGCCGGCCCTCAAGGTGCAAGTCCTCCCTGCTGTAGGGTGAGGGAGGGACCCCGAGAAGGGGAATGGGCAGGGACTGGGGTCCCCCAGCCTGGGGGCAGACACCTTCCACTCGTCCCCCCTCGGCTGTCAGAGCAGCCTGGGGTTAGGGCTCCCACTCCCCGGGAGCCTGGGCACCGGCGCCGTCGACACCAGCCCCTTCCCACCCCGCTGGGGCAGGCGCAGCCCCCCGGCCTCCCGCCTGCTCACGCATCCCCAAGCGCGTGTGGCCCCCCCACACCCCACTCCATGCCCCAGCCCCGCTCCCCCACATCTCCCCCGGGCCTGTCTCGCAGCCCTCGTGCCACAGCTCCGCCGGCTCACAAAACACCACCTGTGTTTTCCTTCTCTCCCCCCTCCTCACGCTGCCTCTGCCCCCGGGGCCAGAGCCCCCCGTTGCCTGCTCAGCAAATGCTTTTCCAACACGCAGCCGCCCCCCCTTCCCGCCTCCAGGGAGCTGTCAGAGGAGAGGCCCGTGTGGAAGAAAATGAATAGGGCTGTCTTCAGAAAGCAGCTGCAAATTCCTGGGGGATGCCCAGCCGGATGAAGGTGCAGGGTCACTGCCCACGAGCACCACAGGCTGAGGCCCAGCTTCCCCCCCCCCACCCCACGCTGCCGCAAAGCCGAGGGCACGGATGGAGGGCCACAGGGCAACGAGCCTCCCTTGCCCCACAGCGTCCCTGGGACACGGGCACCCTGCACTCCTCCCGTCCCTGGCCACAGGGGATAGATACACTGCAGCACGTGGAGTTCCTCTGCTGCACACTTCATCTGGTTTGGGTTTTGTTGTTTTTTTTTTTTTTTTTTATTTTTTAAATGTCACGTCTGTGCAGGTCAGGCGTGCTGTTGTGCTCATTGCACTGATTTTCCACGCAGGCAGCTGAATGCTGGGAGCTGCATGGCTTTCGCCACCCCTGCCCGCCGGCTTTGCTCCATTTCAGCTGCCCTGTGAGCTCCGCCAAGGCCTCTCAACGTGCCCGAGCCTTTTGCTGCTGCAGGACCAGCCCACAGAGCCGTGTTCGTGTCCTTGGTGGATTTATTTGACTCCACCAGAGCCTACTGCAGCCATGCCTTTTTCATACAGCACCTCCACCCAGGAGAGGGGCTGGAGCAGGGCTTCTGGCACGACGGCAACTTTGCTAAGTGGAAGCAGGCAGAGAAAACACCTTTCTCTTCCTTGCAGCTCTCAGCCATATGAAGGCTTAGGGCCTGGCTTGGAAAACCAGGAACACCCTTGCCCCATCCATTCAGGCTGTCCCAGACTCCAGCCCATCCCCACCGTGCCGAAGGGCTGCCTCGGGGCCACGCGGGGCTGGTCTCGCACAGCACAGCCAGGCCAGCAGTGATCAGCAGGTATCTCTCTGCCCCGATGTGCCACGGGCTGCCGAGGTTGAGTGTGGGATCACGGAGCACCAGGTCGGCTCTCACCGAACCCAGAAGTGCCCAAGTGATGCCTGAAGCGCTGCTCCTTTTGTTGCTTCAAGAAGTCTTCCCCTTTCTGCAAATCCCTCCTCCCTCTACTCCTTGGCTATGCAATGACTATTTTATCTCCACCGGAGGAATTAAACGCTGGTTTCAGTCAGCCCTGCGAGCCAGGGAGAGCCGAGGTGGGCTCAGCGGCGCTGTGCCACTGAGGGGAGAAGGAGGGATCGGTCCCAAGGCTACACTGGGGCTGCCACCACCGCGGCAATGGTTATCTGCTTGCTGACTGTCAGCAAAGCACAAGGAGGCCCTGAGGGATGGGACACACACAGCCTGGGGCACTCAAAGGTGTTTCCTCCAAAAGAGGTGGAGAGAAAGGGGTGGCAATCGCCTACAAGATGGCCAGATGATGCTGCCTACACGCCTCGAAACCCAGCAAGATACTTTTGCCAATGACTCCAGGTCCTCTTCCAAAATAAGCCTAAACCTTGAAAATATTTCCACACTCCCCGCTGCTGCTTTCATTCACACTCTGGTTTCACTCTCCCCTGGCCCCCCAAAAATAATTTCTGGATAGGGCTAAAACTTTCAGTAGGTTTTCTTTCAGCCCTGCAGATGATCTGGAAGACATGTACCAACGGCAGTGCAAACCTGCCAGGGACTTCCCTCTCCACCCCCAGGACCATGGTCCCCACTGAACCAGCTCAAAGCATGGCCCTGCAGAGGAGATCTGGAGCAGGAGTGAGAGCCCACAGCACGTCTGCTACCACAGCTTTCAAACTCAGTCCCACCACAAACTGGCGCCCCCCTGTTATGTTCCGACTGCTGCAGAGCCATTGTTGCAAGCAGCCTCCAGCTCATGAATGTGAAACTGGATATCTGAACCCCTTCAGAAGGTTTCCCTCCTAGACCTTCAGCCTCACGTCTTTCCTGGACTGCCCTCTCTCTCTATTCACTTCTTGACTGCCAAGTCTTCCCCATCTGGGGGCTTGCCATCGCCTGAGGCTGTCCGGGTGTCTGGGACGTGGTCTCTGCTGGCCCCAGCTCCCCTCGAGGACAGGGACCCACGCAGCACAGCACAGGGGTCCTCCACCGTGGATTAGTTGATTGTCCATCCAACCTCTGGCTCCAGTTTTGTGAGCTCCACTGAATGGTGCTCCTGACCTCCCCTCAGCGGCAGTGCCTTTGCCACAGCAGGGACCACAGCAATGGGCAAGTCCCCTTCTTTTGCACCCGTATCCCCAGTTGCAATCCGGTAGCTGAAAGTGATTTGGCTCCTGGAGAGGGCTGACAGACTACCTCAGTCATACCTCTGATTTGCCCTGAAGGACATGGTGGGACCTTCTGGTGCTCTAGGACCTATCTCCTGTCCACCACTGATGCTAGACCAAAGCAGACAGATAGGTCAAACAGCCACGCTTTGTCCCAGGAGACAGAGCTGCTGGTGGTGGGTTGGAATAAGGGGGGGGAAAAAAAAAAAAAAAAAAAAAGAAAAGGGGATCAGCCTAAGAAAGAACTGATCAGGCTGAGGAGCTGTGCACACCCTGCTCTCCTAAATGCAAACCATGCCCTTGGTAATCCCATCCACCTCTCCCCTCCACTCCTTCCCTCTATCAGGCCACCAGCGCACACAGCCCCCTTTCTGCTCTGGAATGTGTTCTCCGAAACTTAATCTCAGCATGGGGCTCAGGCCAAATACCCCGACAGATTCGGCCCCGTGACAACCCCCCTCCCACCCTGCTTCAGAGCTCAGTAATTCTCTCCTCTCTCTCCTTTGACTCCCCCTCCCACCCAGCCTGGTCTAAACATTTCACTCCTGATTAATGTATCAGTGACAAGCCAATAGCGCTTGGCTTTAAAGCAAAGCCAGCCCTCACTTTGCACAAACATCTTCACTTCTTCATTTTCTTAAGACTTAGACCCAAACCCACCTCGCTGGGAAGATGAAACCCTTTCCACGCCCGGGGGCTGTCACTGCCAGGGGATCGTGGTCTCCTCTGCACGCACTTGCTCCACCAAAAATTGCACGGGTCTCTCAGAACGTCAGACTCTCCACTGCCTGAACAAGGGTGGTCCACACAGAGCCCCCCCCCATCCCCAAGCAGACCTGGGCTGCCCTTTCTCAAATGCATCCAAATACAGCACTTTCTCACATTTGAGCATAACAGCTGGCCAAAACTACGTGCCTGTGAGAGCAGTTCCCCACTCTAAGACACCCTCTCCCACGCACACGTCTCCTTGGTCTGTCGCCAATGCCAGAAGGCAGCGGTGAGGAGCACGTAAGCCCAAAGATAGGAGCAAAGTCCCTCACTCAGAAACAAGGTGGCTCTTTGCTGCCATGTCACTGCAATCTCTAAGGAGAGGACAAAGCCATGGAAAGCAGGAGCATGCCCTGTTCCCCTCCCCCGGGACCACAGCAGTGGTAAGGAACACAGCCTCCTGCCCCTTAAAGATAAAAACCTCACTACGAGTGCTTTTAGATACTCTGCTCTCCTGTCTCTTCCTCCTGTTGAGTTCTGTGCCTGCCTTACTAAATAAGGACAGCTCAATATCTGCCTTCAACACCTCCATGCAACCATTCTCCCACCATCCTTCTCCCTCACCTGCCCTTTTGGGAAGGGATCTTCCCAGCGGTGCACACAGGACCAGCAGCTACTTAATGCAGGTGCTCAGGAGCACCTCCTCACCACAGCCAGACTAACAACCCCTCCTCAGTGTAAGTGTAGGGGCTGGTACTTTGGCTATGATGAACCCAGGGGCAACACGAAAAAGCGCAGGTCCCATCACAGCACAAGCAGGGCAAGGGACTTCACTTTCTGTGGGTCAGGAAGACAGTGAAAATTTAGCCAGCCAGCGCTGGCAACAGCCCTGCAGCAGCCCAGGCAGCAGTCTGGCCATCAGCACCAGCAGGTACTTTTCGGTAACCTCGATCAAGAAGTCAGTAACCAGAAGAGGCAGCACGACAGTCAGGAAACCAACCATGCACATAAACCCCATCGCTCAGGTATTCCTTGTTCTTTGGGGTCTTGCTAAAACCATCACTGCAGGACAGGTCTGCAGCCTGCCATGCAGGAGGACTGCTTGGGTCACAGCCGGGCCACAATATGACAGCCAGTCCACAATCAAAAATGCTACAAAATGGCCTAAGCCAAAGGAGCCTTCCCTTGATGCCAGCGTGAGCAAGTGAGCATGGATGAGCCTCTCAAGACACGTGAGTGATGGCCCAAGCAATGCAGGGGGTGGCAAAGGACTAAAGCTACTCACTAGCCAATGTGACCACTGCAGGGACACTGGCAATGACTCCTTCTGGCACGCGAGCGATGCACTGGTATCGCCCCACGGTGTGGTTGTTGAGAGCCGTGATGACGAGTTTCCCTCGCTCGATGTGGATACCCAGCACCGCGTCCGATCCAGCCAGCTCCTTCCCGTTCAGCCTCCAGGTGAGGTTCACTCGAGGGGGGTCCACCATACACCCCAGGCTGACTGGGCCCCCCAGCTTTTGGACAATGGAGGCAGGTTGCACCGTGACCTGCAGAGATTCACCTGCACAGAGGGAAAAAATGGGAATAAGAAAGCTCTGCGAGACTCCACGAAACAAAGAACAGAGGTAGAAAATGCAGCGCTGGTACATTTTGCATTGCCCACTGCTTCCAATTGTGCTGCAGCTTCCCCTTAGCTCCCCACACACCCACCCGAGTGCTTGGAGATGCACACCAGCCCCATTTCTTCTTGGCACCGCCAGACAAAGATGTCCAACTCTGACTGTATCCCCTTCTCCTCTGGAGGAGTGTTTGATCCTAGACCTTTGGTCAAGGCTTTTAAGGAAACAGTGGAGAGAGGAAACCACTTTGTGCTTGAGACATGGCTATGCTAAACAGCACTCAAGGCAAAACATAAACGAAATGGAACAAATGGGTAAGAACAGAAACTCACTCAGGCTGGCAAAGCAGCTAGCGGCTGCAAGGATGAGGCAAGGGATGGGGGACATGGGTCTCTTCTTTCCACGTGTCATTGCCATCCCATGCGGCGTGTCCTGGGGTGCCCAGGGAAGGGTCCCATAAGCTGCCTCAGGGGATGCAGTGGATGTGCGGCAGCAGATTCCTGTGGATGACAAGAGGCACAGTGGATGAAACCCTCAGACTTCCCTCTGCTTTCCAGCCCTGTCTGGCTTCTCCACCAACATGCCTGGGCTCCCAGGGATTCACCCAGCCAGTGGCCTGAGGTGGCTACAGACACTGATGCAAGCACTTCTCCCCCAGGCATGGCTGTGAGTCTCCCGAGACATCCCCTCCTCAGCCCTCAGTAGAAAACTACATGTGTGCACACAGACACATACTCCCTTTCCCCATTTCAGACCAGGCATAGTGAATGCCTGTACTGTGCTGGCAATGCACACCAGGCAATTTTCAGGAGCAAAACACAAACATTTCCAATGAAGTGTCACTGGAGATATTTGCTAAGTGTTGCTGCCACTTCTTGGCTGGGTCTGGAATATATTCTAGCTTGAACACTAAAGTAAATGAGCGGTACAAGTCCCAAACCACATGAAAACAGAGGTGATCCTGCAGTTTCACAGTCTCTTCCTGAGACTCTGGACACGTTGCTACTGGGCACACCTATGTTTCAATCTAGATGGGACTCCTTAGGAGATGTAAAAGTTTTTCAGGGCATCTCCGCAAGGAATTATTCTGAAGTGGAGGGGCACTTTTTCAGGAGAAAAGAAATTCCCAGTTCTAAATTTGTTTAAATTCAATGCAGTGAGCTGAGGGTGGATTACACTAATTTGGCATAATACACCTTTATTCTAAACTAAGAGACCCAATCAATGGAATGATGTCAGATTAACTGTTCTGCCTGAAACACACTGTCTATTTTGAGTTGAACTACTCTGTCTGGACAAACCACCAAATTCATATTTGAAAGCATCAACAATCTCCAAAAAACTTGAAGCCCAAGGCCACCCATCACAACCCAGGTCGCTGTGAAGAGCTGCACACTGCAGTGGCTGTTTAGGAGAGATTGTCACGAACAAATGCTAAAGCTGACAAGCCAGGTCAGGGGGATTAAAAATCTAAGTGGCTGCCCCAAGAGACACCTCAGATGTCAGACTGAATTCAGCTTCAACCGAGGGCAAAGGGCTGAAGTCAAGAAGAGACTTTCCCCTATGAAGATCATAACACAGCTACAGGATTTTGAGCTCCCTCCACCTGCAGCACTAAGAAGATGACCTGCGACTCTCAAAGGCATTTCACAACTGTTCCTGCAGCACGTCTACGTTGGCAGGGGAGAAGCTCAAGACCAAACCAGCCACGGCAGCCAGCCCAAACAGCGCTTATAATGCCTGCTCCCCCTGCAGATACACGAGCTCAGACGCAACCACCATTCTCAAGAGCACCTGGACTCTGCAGAGCAGTATCTGCTACTTCCACCCTGGTAACTGCTCAAGCCATCACCTGTTTGAGCATGTCCTTTTCATAACCATCTCAGTCAAAAAGAAGGGACAAGTCCCTTCAAGCATAACCTCCAGAATTAAACCTTCTAACTCCTGAAGCATAACCTCCAGAATTAAACCTTCTAACTCCTGAAGTAAGGACTACCACAGACTCCTCATGAGATACTCAGTGATATGTTCAAAGCAAGGCTGACTACTGCTAGCAAGGAACCACAGCATTTCAGGAAATCTCACCAAGCTACTCTCAGATGACATTGCTTGGCCTCTGATGACAGCAAAGGTGCTAGAGTGCAGTACGGGGCAACTTCCATTGGCCAGTCGTGCTGAGTTCCACATCACCACACCGAGGATCCAGCTAGCTAGCTTGCATGCATCTCTGCAAATTGGGCTGTTCCCCTAACAGCCTCACGAGCTGTCCCCTTTCACCCCACCATGCCCCAGAGCACTGCTTGGCTGGAGAAGTCATGGAGGACGCATTCATATAATGCTGAAAAAAGATAAGCAAAAGAAAAGCCTCCTCTGAGCTGGCGATTTCAAAAGGAAGCAACGCCAAGTAAAGTGACCTGCAGCCAGAGCTTTGCAAACACCGCAAAGAGCATCTTTACATGCTGCCTTGCAGGCCGATGTGAGCTCACTCGGCTGGCCTGCGCAGCGGGCTCAAGGCAAAGCAGCTCCTTCCCAGGAGTCACGCAGTCACGGGCACTGTGGCCGTGAGGCCAAGGTGACAAGCCCTGCCGAGAGGCTGGGTAAATTAGGTCCAGCTTGGCATGGCCTGCTGCGGCTTTCAGGCAGCCAGGAGCACAGACAGAGCTTGGTTGCTGGGCATCAGGCTGGTCATACTCTGAAGGCACCCAGAAAGATCAGCTAGACTCATACTCCAGCTTACTGCAGCCCACAGCCCTGTTACATGTGAAAATCCACTGTGGGTAACCTCCAGCACCAAAGTGACAAGACAGCACCTTCCCTCCCACGCACTTCATCCTTCCAGGTATTCACTTTCCTCACCCGAGCAGCGAAGAGAGCGCCAACAATTTGAAGAGTTTCCCCCATCAACCAGCACAATACTGTTGTATGAGGTCTTTTAGCTATTGACTTGGAGACCATCTGAGTTACTCAAGTTCATTTCTCCAAGTAAGACAGGCACCAAAGCAGCCTTTGTTATGCCACAACCATCTTGGGCAAACCACCACTGACCACAACCGTGAAAGCGCCCGAGGTCTGTCCATACCAGAACATGCGCTATTGACACCACTGCTGACATACAAGTTGATGTGCCACTAATCGCAGTCATCTGGAAAAGACTTTGAGTTAATTTAGGCTTAAAAACACCTCACGCCATAAGGTTTGCTGGAGATAGACAGCCTTCCACCAACAGACAAGAAACATTTTGGCGTAGGACTTAATGTCTTGTTCCTCAGTGCTGGAAGCCTACAGAGCAAATCTGACTCACTCCCCCTATCTGGATGGGTTTGGCAGCAGGATGGAAAAATGTTGGATGGAAAAAGAGTTGCTCTTTAGAGCCCATGCTGGGGGAGGGGGTAGGCAAAGATGTTCCCAACCAGACCTCCCTGCAGCTCTGCGTCGCGCAGAGCCTCTGGCCAGGAGGGCAAAGCCAAAGGCGCAGAAATGTGTAACGGACCCTTCGTGAGCTGGGACCACCCAGGCACATCGATGCAATGACTAAACTGGCTGTCCCCAGGTCTGTAAAAAGATGAAGGGCAATAGGTAGGGAGAAAAAAAGGAGTGACCAAAAAATTTGGCCACAGCCCTGGGCAGATTGAACAGTATTGAGCAGAGACTGAGGAGAGAAGGTATGTTGGAACAAGTGTACGGTACCTCCCCAAACCTCCAGGCAGAGTATGAGCTCTAAATAGGGACATGTGGCCATTTCTTTCACAGCTGAGTGAAGTACAAAAAGTAAATGGCCAGCATAAAAATAATGAGGAAAATGAATGAAAACATCAATTCCAAAAGAACTATTAGGATCCAGGGCCAGATTTCGAAATTCTCAGCTTCCACAATTGAAGCCAGATTTTCAAAAGCATTCAGTTCTTGACATGCTGAGCTCTTCTGAATAGGCAACCAACTTATTTCGATGCCTAAATGGGAGCTGACCTCTTTTGAAAATGCTGCCCTTAAGCAGTCTGCAGTAGTGCAAAGCAAGGAACTTTATTAATCGGGCAGCTTTCGATCTGCCCGGCATCCCCGCAAGCACCGCCAGAGTGGGCTGCGGCAGGAGAGGCGGCAGAGGTGGGGAGCGGAGGAGGCCCCAGGTGCTCCAGTTGCCTTCCCAGAGGCACTGGTCCCGGGCAGGGGGCTGCACCGGGAGCCACAGGGCAGCTGTGTGACCGTGTCCTGCTCTGCTGCCTCCTCTCCCCACGGCAGGTACGCTCCGAGATACCCCCCGGCTGCTGACACTTCTGCAGCCACCGACACCGCTAGCCTCAACAGCTCCTGCTTAATCGCTGTCTGGGAAAAGAAAGAGTTAAAGTAATTTAAAGGCCTTCAAGGGGGGAAGGGAAAACAAAAATTATTTGTTTATTTATTTCTAATTCTTTCCTGCCAGGTTAAAATAACAATTTCCTGTGGTGGAGCAAAGGCTCTAAGTCCATTTCAGACAGCCCAGTAAATCAAAGGAGGGGCCATTAGGAGAACAAAATTAACAAGAGCTTCATCAGATATGGAGGGGTGGTGGGGGTGTAAAATCTGTCGGCTCAGCTTCCCGCCACACACCTAAGCCCACCGAGGCCCCCGCGCAGCCCCAGCTGTGCCGCGGCGATGGAGGGCACTGCGGAGGGAGCGGGGCAAGAGAGAAAAACCAGAGGTGAAGATATAAAAGGAAATAAAGGTGCACGCGAGTGCGGGGAGGGGGGTGGTGTGTGATAGAGCTCGAAAGGAAAAAGGGATCTGAATTAAGCGCAGGCAGCGGGAGAGGTGTTTGCTGATTAGAAGCTGAAGGTTTTACTGAGGAAATGCTGCTCACAGCCCCAAGCCCCCTCCTGCTTAACAAGGGCTGACCAAGCAGCCCTTGTTAATGCCACGCTGTCTGTGATTTACAAGGTTCCCAAATAGGAACCAGCCTCTGCCCCGGCTTCGGGGCAGCATCCCCGCACCACACGCCCCAGCTCCGTGGGCAGGCGGGGGCGAAATGCAGAGCCCAGACTGGGAGACAGCGAAAATTTGCCGGGGCACGGGAGGGCGGTTTGGGGTTGTGTCAGGTGGCTGGACCCCAAACGCCTGCTCGCGAAGGGGAGGAACGGCGGGAAGGGGAAGGGGCTGCTTTGCACTGAGGCAAAAGCTGCAGCAACTCAGGTCCAGTTACCAGCTGGGGACACCCTGGGTGACTCTGGAGAATTCACTGCAGCTGGTCTCCATTTCCGACAGGTCAAGTAGGGACAATGATACTCCCAGTTCTCTATTTTATACGTTGAGACTTAAGCTCTGCAGAAAAAGCAATGTCTTACACAGTACAGTGTGCCAATTCTACTTGTAATCATTAGTTTTTAATACAAGAGAGTATTTTTTTCTGTTGTTCCATAGAGCTTAAAGCACAGAAAAAGAAAATGTAGAAGAGAAAAGAGCCATAGTACCCCTTTGCTTTACAAATGAGGGAACCTGAGGGCTAGAAGAGGAAACCAACCTGGCCCAA